AGTTGTAAACATTGTAATTAGAAGCAAAACTTTTGTTGAGCCACCTTAGAGCCTTTACCTCTGCCTTTCCTTGGTGGGCTTGCTTCCTTCTGCCCTTTACTTCTCTCCATTCCCTGCTTGGCATAAGTTGTTACCACTCTTAATGGACTGGAGTAGTTGGTCTGGAGGACCTTCAACGCCTCCCAACCCTCCTAGTCACCAGTTCTCTACTTCTGCTTCCATATTTCTTTCTTCTACCTTTCTGTGCGGTCTCCTTTACTGGGATCTGAGGTTCAGGAATAATATAAGAATGTGCAGAGGGAGCAGGGAAGATGCATATGACAGCATGACTGTATTACTAGGACTCAGCTATCTCTTTTTCTTGTGGAAAAATTCTGGAAGAGTTGGTTCCAGGTCCGCAGAGAGGTTGCATGTTATCAGATCTTAGTCACCATTTGAAGCAGAAACCATGTTTCAAAATAGCTGAATGTTATTTTATTTACCACAATAACGATGATGAACTAATGATGTAATGAGTACTCAAAGATAAAACCTGGCCTTGAGAGGCTCACAAACCAAAAGTGGTAGCCCTGGGTCTCTACAGTTCATTAATAATCATCACTGCCTGATACTGAGCACCCATGTGCTGGGTACAATGCTGAGCATGTGACATTCATGAAGTTGTTTAATCCTCACAACATCCCAGGGGGCAGGTACTGTTGTCATCCCCACTTTACAGATGAAGAAGTGGAAGCGTAAAACTTACATGATTTTCCAAGATTGCTCAACCTGTGACAGATTGGGATTCAAATATACTTGGAGGCACCTTACTAAACTGCCTTTAAGAGTTCCCTTTCTGCATCAACCAGAATCCATCGAGTTACTCAAGACTGACTGCAAGAGGAGTGAGGTCCCTAATTCATCTCAAATCTATTTCAACACTCATCTTGAGGATACATGCTCAGGAACCACTCCCATGAGCCCTTTCTCGCTGTGTCACCTGTGATCCAACCTGCTTTAACCTGTCTGTTCTCTTACCTGTTTGAACCTGCAGATACCCACACTGAGGGATCGTTGGCTGTGGGCTTCTCCCTCTCTTCCCCGTCTCCATCCCCACCAGTCTGTTCACAACCCCAGCAGCATCAAGTCTTCCCAGCAACAGGGGAGTTACCCCAGCTAACTGCCTGCCTCTGGCCTTTGAGGTTCCTGCCTGTGTTGCTTATGTATCTGCTTCATTTAAAGGCATGACTGAATCAAGAGATGCACCTCCTTCAAGGCATGAAGTCCTACTCTCTGGAATCTTGTCCTCCAGTCCAAGGCATGGTAGCTTCTTTTCAAGTCCTTCCTTCCCATAGCCACAGACTGATAAAAACCTTTACTTGGACCCGATGCTAATTTGGAATTTAAAATCACTAGCTTTGGGAGATTAGGCAGAGTATTAATGTAGCCAGGATTTGGGATAGAAGAAAACTGAAATGTTTTCATATGACAACTACTATTGTTGCTATTACAAATCATATTATATTAACAGTTTTTCCTTTCTCTCCCAATACCTTTTTTTTAATACTTTTTTAATACTGTTAAAAGCCCAGTTTGAGGATTACAATTACCTGAAAATAATAAAATAATACTTAAAATTATATTTAAGACTTTCAGTTTTTGTAGACCAACTTCCCCCTTCCTCCAGTCCCTCCACCCTGCCTTCCCTACTCCCTCCAGGCATCCAAAATGGTACAATTTGTATGCATTAGGCCAGGCATCCTATGAATACTCAGTAAATATTAACTAACTGACTGTCTAAATGAATTAATCTATTAGCTTCTGGTAAAAGTGCTTTTTCTGTCTCTCAATTTCACATCATTTCCTCTCCTTTTACTAACATGGGCATTCATGCATTCAATTCAAACAATTGTTTACTTAGGGCTAGTATGGCCTCCACAAATGCACAGCCTGGTAACGGTGCAAGACAGTATGAGAACAAGACCTCACATGAGGACTGCAGCAGTGGGGATGCGGAAAGAACATGGGCCTTCACCACAGACCACCTGGGCTCAGAGCCTGCCTAATGTGTGAAATCGGACTGTTGACACCTAGCTCATAGACTGATTGATAACAGTGAACATTCTGGAGAGTTGGGGAGTGCTGTGTGCATCTTCCCCTTTAATCCTCTTTGATTGCCTATATAGCAGGGAAATGGGACTTAGAGGGGTGGAATGATTTGTCAGCCTACTGTCTCTCCAGCTAGTAGTGGGCACTACTAGAATTTGAACACACTCAGAGCTCTTCCTTACAATATCTCATTTGGGGGAGTAACCTTGAGAGTTAAATTGTCAAGTACCTCTCACACTACATGCTCAACATGTGAGCTTCCTGTGCGCCTCAACAGGAGGGTAGGATTCTAGGTTCCAGAAATGGGGATTGGTCATGTCACTTCAGTGCTAGATGTGAATGCTCCCCATCCAGTAGTAATGGTCCGTTTGGCCCCCGGGCCCACTGTTGGCCCAGGAAGGATGAAGGAATCTGTTTCCTGCCCCACAAGGGGATTGGCAGTGCAAGTGTGGAATGGAAGTGCAGCCACTCTGGAAGGACTGCAGTGAAATTATGAAGAGACTCCTCCTCCTGTCAGTGCACCTGCTGGATGAGTGTGTCTTTCCTGGTTGTAGTTTGGTTTGGTTTCATCTTACAGCCACAGTAAAGGTTCCTTTACTTTTGAAAAGCACTCTCCTTGTTTCAGCTCAAAAAAGAGATGAAGGGGATTTGTCTCCACCTGGGCTGTCTCAGGGAGAGGACTGAAGTGCCCTTTGGGGTAGGTCTGGTGACGCAGCTAGAGCACTGCGGGGAGCCAGGAGGGACTGAGCAGATGGAGAAGGGAGGTCTCAATTTAACTGTTAAAAGAAAGTCTGGGTGCCTGAGTTGGGAAACATTTTTGCTGACCAAGTAAGACATTTGTAATAGGAATAAGAAAGAGTTTTTTATAGAAATGATGGTGCAAGTAAGGTTAACCATTTTTATATGTAGCTCAGGCACATTAAGTACATTCACATTGTTGTACAACAACCACCACCATCCACCTCCAAAACTCTTCATCTTGCAAAACTGAAACTCTACCCATAAAACAATAACCTCCCATTTGCCCCTTCTCTAGCCCTTGGCAACCACCATTCTATTTTCTCTCTCTATGAAGTTAGGTACCTCATACAAGTGGAATCATACAGCATTTATCCTTTTATGACTGGCTTATTTCACTTAGTATAATGGACTGTCAACTTTAAACTATATATATTCCAAATCATTTGCAAAGTGATTTAAATAAGGTAAAAATTCAGATTCTACCAGGCTGGTATGATAAAATGCCAATTTCCATGTGGAAAATTGAAGTCGGCCTTAAATCAGATCTCGAGGAGGGAGTGAGTACAGATGAAAGGTGAACCCTTCAGTTATCTGGGCCAACAGATGCTTTCGCTGTTTAAACCCCCTGAGTTGCATCTTCTGTTACTTACAACTGAAATCATCCTGATTGATCACTATGGACTGAATGTGTCCCCTCTAAGTTCATCTGTCGAAACCCTAACCCCAATGTGAAGGTATTAGAAGATGGGGCCTTTGTGAGATAATTAGGCATAGCAGAGCCCATGATAGGGGAGCCTCCATGATAAGATTAGTGCCCTTATAAGAAGATAGAGCAGAGAGTCTCTTCTCTCTCTCTCTGCCGTGTGGGGACATGGTGAGAAGACACCTCACCAAACCTGACCATGGCAGCCCCATGCCTCTGAAGCGACTCTCAAGCAAGCTGCCTTTGGGGACTCTGAGGGTGGCAACAAATGAAGATGACAAAGAATGAGGAACAGGAGCGGGAGCAAAGAAGGGTAAGAGGCATGGTAAAGAGCAGTACTTCTTACTCCTTTCCCCCAGAACAGCAGACTACAATGAAAGCAGACCATCAGAAGGCCTGGGCGGTGACCAGAAAGGCCCACATGAGTGCTAAAATCTTTAAAATCTTGTGTTTTAGTGTAAAGTTCTTTTTCCATTTCCATCCCTTCCTAGCCATATTACTTGGCAATATCACTCATCTTTGTTAAGCTTCTCTTTCCTCATGCATAAAATGGAAGATGACATCTTTTCTGCTTTTCTCACAGGGTTGTCAAGTAGTTAATGTGAGAGAAAGGGCTTGGGAGACTAGGAAACTCTGATGCTATGGTCCAGTAGGATGGTATCAGTATTACTTCAAGACCATTTTGGAAGTTTCTCCAGCCCAAATTAATCCATTACTGGACTAAACTTCCCTTTTCATTCTGATACCTTTTTGTCTAATTGTTGCACCTGTACAAGGAAGAGGAGTATGGAAGCAGAAAGAATGAGGAGGGGCTATTTATAATCAGCTGTCAGTGGGGATGGGAGAAAAGTCAGATCTTATTTTCATGTGACTCTGCATCTCTTGGTTCTCCTCATTTCTATATCTCCCATCTTTATTATGGTATCTCCAGCTTCCTACCCAAAGGAATCCTGAGTTCATATCCCCTGTATTTGCCTCATGATCAAATTGCCTAAGATATAGAGCAGAGAAGGAAAGACAAGTTGGTTTCATCTTCCACACCAGCTGATTTGTTAGTTGCTTCTAACACTATATTAAATAAAAACTATCAGTGGGAAAGATTACAGAGATTGATTAGTCATGTCTGCCACAGGCAAGGAAAGTGAGAGCAGCAGTGCATGTGCCACCCTGGCCATGCCTGGTTTTCAGATTCAAGACAAATCATCTCTAAAAAATGCGGCAAACATTGAGAGCTGGAAGGTTTTAATCCTTAGAATCTTAGACTCCTGGGGCATTTATGAAGTCAGTAATAATGGCTTATGTCTTATTTTTAATAATGTGAAAGGTCAACTCTATATCTGTGATAGGGTTGACTAGGTTAACTAAAGGTCAAGTTTCTTTCATTTTTGGACACAATAGTATTAATTCTATTCACTAACCCTGGCTGCATCGTGCTAGTCACTATGGCTTACATTTGTTGTAATCACAGAAATTTCTGGAATGTCATTGGTCAGCCTCACAGTCCAGCACTGAACACATGAACAATTGTGGGCATGAATGCAGACGGAAGACCTAAGGTAAATGACTGACTGCTGGGAACAATGCTTTAGAAAAAAGGAGTCTTGGTGACCAAGAGGTTGAGAATCATTGTTTTAATGAAATCTAGCATCAGTCTTAAGGTAACTGCTTTAAATGCTACCCCATATTTCTGAGAACTCTACAGGCTTCAGATTTGGATGGTCCATGATGGTCATCCAAACAGAATAGAAAATGCCTATTTCTATTTTCACATGTATTATTTGAGACTTTTAAAAAGTAACAAATAGTTTCCATTAAATATATTTTTTGTGAAATTCCAAAGGGTTCAACACTGTGTACATATACTGCATTTAAGCTTTTAGGAATTTATTTTACCACTTTGGTGCTTTCAGTTTGCTTGAAAGCAGGCCCTCCTGAGTGAGAGGCCGAGTTGGTGCTTAAAAGCCATCAATTTGCCTCCATCTGCTCCTTGGGTAACTGGATTTTTTGGCTGAGCAGAGTATGTTAGTTTAATTTTGGTCATGTCCTATTGTGCTACAAGAAGCTATACAACAGTAAAAGATGCTGTGATTAAATATTTTAGGAATTTTATGTTTTATTTTTTCTAGGTTTCCTTAGGGCCTACCAGTAATTTCTATATTGAGCTTCCCTTGCAAATGAATTCTTGCATTTTAAGTGATAGCCATTGAGGAAGGGGCTGTGAGATGGGTAACACTTCAGAGAAAACCTGCCAGGGAGAGTGATATGCTCAGGGCTGGGAAGGCCTGTAAGAGATGCATATGGAAAAAGATTACAGGCAAGGATGCTCCCCTAAAATCAATGAGGTGGTCCTAGTCACAAGGGACCTCTCTACTGGTACTTTCCTACTCCCCACTTTCTTTTCTTCATTCCCTTAAATTTTTCCTACCTCTCTTTGCATCCCTTTCTCCTTTCCTTCCCTCTGTGTGTCTCTCCAGTCCTCTTTTCTAATGTCCCTTCCATTCTTCTGCTTTTCTGATCCTCTTCTTTCTTTCCCACCCCACTTACCATCTCTTCTGTCCTATCTCCCATTCTCCACCCTTCCTGTGAAAACCATGTTCCACTTAAGGCATCAAACTGTGTTTTTAAAAGTGTGTTCCACCAAGCACTAGATCCATGAGATGTATTCTGGGGCTGGATCTGTGGTTAAATAAACTTAGGAAACATTGCAGACCACATTCCCCCCTTGGAGCTTCAGCATCCCCAAATAGCATTTTACAGATTCTGAGGAATCCTGCTGTGAAAACACTGGGCTAACCTGACTTATCGCACTGTTCCCCAAAACCTCCTTGACCTCTGTGTCTTTTCCCTCCAATTAAATGAATTTCATTGAGCATACATTTTTGGGACACCCCATGGCTTAGCATCTTGTCTTGACTCACCTTGGGCAGTACCTTCATCCAGCCATGCCCAGTGTCAAGGTGTCTTCTCACTGTCTGAGCCTTTCTTAAGGCTGCCACAGCCAGAGTCTCTCCTTTTCTGTCTGTACCCTTCACTGCCTAACATTGCAGCCACGCACCACTCAGACCTGCGGAAGTTATATATTGGTCATCTCTCATGTTAAATGTTTAAGTGTGCGGTTTTTTTTTTTTTTGGCCTAACAAAGTCAAAGACCATTTTTGAAAAGCAATACACAGCATGGGAGAGACATGCAGGGGAATACACAAGCAGGGGAAGGTTTGATCCCCTGCTGGTAGCAACGTAAGTCAATGTGATCATTCCAGAAGGTAGTCTGACAATATATAGTTAAAGTCTAAAAATTCTACTCTTGGGACTTTATCCTAAGAAAATAATTAAGGATGTAAGCAAAGATTTAGCTACAATGATTTTTCTGGAGTGTTGTTTATAACAACAAAAACTTGGAAACAGCCTTAATATCCAACAGTGGGAGCCCAGTTGAGCATACTGTGGCATAGTCATATGGTGGGGTATTATGCAGCCCTTGCAAGTAGAGCTTTAGGACAGTATAAAATAAATGCCCAACACTAATTCTGTGTAAAAAATATACATATGTACAATGTGAGCTCATCTTTGCAAAATCAGCATTCACCAAGTGTAGTATATACACACATATATATAAAAGCTAGAAAGAGTGTTCACCAGAATTTAGCAGTAATTATTTCTTGTGGGATTTCAGCAGCTTCTTGTTTATCTGTGTTTCCTGATTTTTATATAAATAGTATGTGCTTTTTGTATATAGAAAGGAAACAATAAGTTAGAAAAATTAACAAAAATGGTTGGTGATCATATACAAGCTTTGTTCCCATTTGAACTCCCAGCTTACTTCAAATAGGCTCCTGCCAACACCAACTGGGACTTTTCTGTCTCCTGGGGGGTAAGTGCTCCATGAGGAAGGTCAAAGAGAATGTCAACCTTCCTTCTGCTATCTGAGGAAATCTGGATACAAGAGCTGGCCTCTATGTTGTGATGCAGCAATTTACTGGGGGGAAAAAAGATAACACACCCCACCATCTATTTATTTAATATTAAAAATAATATTTCACTGAGTTTGGCTGGCGTCAGCTCGAGAAGTTACTCATACAGGAATTCAAACAAAAGCAGCATTGGCCCTGGGCCAGGGGGCTGGTGCTGGGTGGTCCATGTCCATCCTTAGCTCAGAGTAGCTCCTAGGCTGCCTTCAGACCTGCTTAGGGTTGGAAGATGATGTATTCATTTATTTATTAGAAATGTTTTAACAGGAAATGCTAATAGTTTGCGTTTAGGGAGAACTGCCCTGGAGACAGCTGGAGGAACCCAGCAGACGTGGCTGGGGAGGAGACTGCTGCTCTCGGCCTTGGAGTAAGATCAAGGCCCATCTGCGCTGCAGCCCAGCACACCAAGTTCGCCCAAAAGATTCTGGTGGTTTTGCTTCAACACACAGAGGAAAGAGCAGGGCCATTCTTTCAGCTGCCCTGTTGCCCTTCTTTGTTGCCATTTGTCCTTTAGGAACCTAAAGGTATGTTTTTGATGTGGCTATGAACACAGATGTTGGCTTAGCTTGGAATGAACAGGCCCTGTGTACACAAACCTGCAGGAAAGAATGTGGGAGCTGAGGTGTAAGCAAGCACATGTGTAACTCGAACCCACTTTTAGTGTGACTGTGGGCTGGTGGTGTCAGGTGTGAGATCAGGGGTTACATGTGCAGATCCTTTCTGTGTATGAGGATGAGTGACAGACAAATGTTTGCAGGGGATTTCAGGTGTGTCCTCAGCTCCTGCGTGCATTCCAACGCTGAATCCCATTCATGGGCAATTCCATGGAGCCCAGAGAAAAAATGAAATGCAGAGGGGAATATAAATCAAGTATAAATATAAGTATGAGAGGAACATGAACAGCTTTGTCTATTTTTAAAAATACACTTGCAGATGTTTTGGAAGAGTGCAAAACTTCACTAATGGGGCAAAGGTATGATTATGGTGCCATGGGGAATGGGGTCCAATGTGAACCCAGTCTGGCAGGACAAAAGGGCCATTCCTGTGTTTCCAGATAACGATGGCGGTGAAGCCTGACCCTGGAAACCAGGCAAGATTCCCAGAGATAAACCCTCGGGAAGCAAGAATACTGTCAATGAAAAGAAACTGACCTTTCGCCTTCTGGAGTCACAGAATTCCCACAAATGCTGTGTCTTCATCGGCTCTGGCAGGCTCTGCCACCACAGCCCCAGACTTTGACGCCAGTTCATAAACAGCATGGGACCTGCTGCTGGAGTCTCTGAGGAGGGGGCTGTACTAGATAGAAGTCAGGACGTCTCCACCTCTAGCACCTCAAAATACAGGACACCCCTCATTTTCTTCCAGAAGCTAATCCTCCCCCAGACTCACAAAGCTTTGAGAAAGCCCCTTTCGAGGGTTTTCTCTGACAATGTGGTCTGGCCTGCTGCTGCTAAAGGTGCCTCAAGTGAGCCTTTAACCTGACAGAAACACAGTGTTCAAACTCTGAACCCAGAGCCTTTACAAGGAGCGCACAGCCTTGGAACAAGAGGCAGAAAGTCTCAGGAGAAGGAGAGGGTTTGAGCTGGGGTGAGGAGGAGTGGATGAGAGAAGGCAAGTTTGTGTCTGTGACAGTAAGAGGTATGTATGAAGTGGGAAATTCATTAAATTTCTGTTTAAGGTCACAAAATTAACTAATCTCTTTAAGTCTCAGGTTCCTCAGCAAAATGAGAATGTTAGTTTCATTTTTTAAATGCAATAAACCAGGTCTTTTTTCCTTAGCAACGGCTTTCCTACAGGACCCTAAAAACCTCCAAGCATCACATAAGCCACTAGAACAATGGTTTCAACCTTGGCTGCACAGAAAAATCACTTGGGAAGCTGTTAACAATGTTAATGCATGAATCCTACCTCCAGATTCTGATAGAATTGGCCTGGGTGAGGCCTGGACACCAGAATTTCTCTCTCCTTTTCTGTATCCCCTTGTCAACTCCTACCCTGAAATGTAAGTATTTTCTAAAGTTCTGTCCTTACCTCTCATCTTTCTCTGTATTTTATGTGTATTTCTCTTCTCACTCATTCCCACATCTTTACACCACTTCTTTGGAGATCACCCCAAATCCGTTTGAATTCCTGATCTGTTCATCCAGCTTTCTTTTGTTTTTCTATACCTGGAACAATGCTTAGCTCTAATACATTCTCGGTCCCAAACTCAACGTCTTGCCCTGCTGCACTTCTATTCCTTGGTGTTTCAATATCTGTAATGTAAAAACCTTCCATTATCCTATCACCAAGGCTCAAAATCTTAGTGTTATCTTGGTGTGATGATTTTTAAAATTAACATGAGAGTGTTAATACATAACCTTTCTGCCATAACATAAACCTCTCTACCACCCACCCATAAAGAAAATACTGTCTTTGATAGCTTTGCTACATCTGCCCTTTAAGGAGAGTTCTGCCCTTTCCAGGATGGCCCCTAGGCTTCATGATTCAAAATGAGGAGACTGGATAAACGGAAACAGGACTGCAGAGGCAGAAGGAAAGGAAGAGGGAAACAAAAGACAAGGTCCTCATAGGCTGAAATTGTTGAGTTTCCAGGCAGGAGAAACGGAGAGTGAGGGGTTAAGATAATGAGAAGTTCCAGAGCTAATAAGATGTAAGAATTACTGAAAAGAAAATGAAGTTGAATGGTTCCTAAGGCTTATGAATTGCATGCTTTTTAATGGTCTTGGAGAATGGCAGGCAAAATATTGAACTACTTTTAACATAGTTTTGGTTACTAGAAGGCTTTTTCAGTGTATTATTGCTCAGATACTGGACGTTACATCTAGGTTACACAAGACACCTCCCTCTCACTCATTTGCCATATCTAAACAGTTGTTAATCCCTGTGATTTTTTTTTCCCTTCCAGCCCTATCACTCTGTACTGCCTGTACAAAACCATACATACCAGCTACACCTCCTCAGCTCTCAAACTTTCTTTTCTTTGGACATTGGCCCATTCTGTTTCCTATACCCAGAATCACTGCCCATTTCCATTGTTTTAAGCACTTTCTATGCTTCAATGCCAGCTCAGATTCTACCTTCTTGAGGAGACCTTTCCTGTTGATGCTTTACACATTCTACATTCCTTCCTGCCCCTGCACATGCAATTTTCCGAAACAACAATAATAATGATTACACCAATCACTAACATTATATTGGGCTCATTATGCCCAGACACTGTTCTAAGTACTTTGCACATATTATTTAATTCTTACAACAACCTTTTGAGGTAATACTGTGAGAACTAAAATAGGGTAAGTTCCCCAAGGTTACAACAGCTATAACTGTCACAGATAAGGTTTGAATCCAAGTCCCAAAGCCTGCATTATTTCTATAGTGTACTTGTACTTTAATACCCCAATACATGCCTGATATATCCTTGTCATTTCTCTATATCTAAAGTTTTCATTCATTCCTGCTTTACATTGTGCATCTCCCCCCATTCAACACTATCAAATAAATGCTTATGCTTCGTTGTCATCAGATTTACATAGTCACTTAATAGTTTCCACTGGTATCCAAATAGAAGACAGCAGCATGTGAATGATCAGGATTTTGACTTACAGAGATCCACTTTAGGTTGAAGTCTTCAGGGGCACTTAATCTAAGAGCAGGGAGCATGTGTTTATAAATCTTACCTTTGAGTTTTATCTTCTTCCTCATAATGTCTTTGAGGTGTCAGCTGCAAAGCAAACCACAGAATGGCCATACTTGAGTGAGGTGAAGATTTAATGCTGCTACTCTAGTTCAAGTGGCTATACGTAGAACTACAGTTGCGTTTTGCCAGTCATTGTGAAGTACATGCACAGTGATTTAATGCAGTTTGGTTTATATTCAGATGCAGTTCTGTTCTAACATCTTGGAGTGAGGAATTGGGTAACTATTAAAGCAAAAGGCTATTCACTCGATTGGGAGTAGTTTTCAGATGAACAGAACTGTAGTTTTAGTTGAGAAATGCATAAAACAGTTATTTTTAATTCTGTAAAATACATAAAGAACTTTTAGGAAAAAAGCATACTTTATATTTTAAAGACAATTCTGGCCAAGATGGAGGATTGGTTTACTTTCCCACCTGAACAACCAAAAAAATTGACAAAATATCTGAAACAAAAGTTTGAAAAGCACTGGACATTAGGCAAAGAAGAAGAGTGAACCCTGAGAGATGTGAGACAAATGAAGTCAGTACTACAGTGATCCCAGCTAACTGCATTAAGAGAGTTTCCAGCCCATAACACAGAGGGGGAACCCAGGCAGAGACAGGAAACTTAATTTGTTGAGAATACAAAGTTGACGGTCTGAGGAAACCAAGGCTGCTAGGGCAGAGTTCCTACAAACTTTGTTCTTGGGACAGAGTACAAGAAAGAAGAGAACTGTGCAGAGACAGGAAGTTCTGGAGCTTTATAGAGGATTCCCTCTTGAGTATTCACCTGAGGACTGATTAGCACATACATATAAGGAAAATATCTGAGGCCAGAGAAAGAACCATCCAAAAATATTAGAGGTAACTGACTGGCACCCACACCAGGCTAGGAATAATGTCTGTTCCCACCAGCCAGACTTGAAAATCTCAAGCTTAATCAGGGAAAGGGGATGGGTAGAATAGACAGAAGGGTATTGCCTTGGTAGTAGGGACTAATTAGTCCTAGACTGAGCTCTGCTTCAGTCCTGCCTAACGAATCTTAAAAAACAAGACCAAAAGGATCAAACAGTTTCTAAGTGATTTAACCAAACCCTCGAATAAATCTCTAGAATATTTATAGGAATATAAAATAGCCAGCACTCAACAAAATAATTTTCAATGCCTGAATCCAATAAAAAATTATTAGGGATGCAAAAATGCAGGAAAATACAATTCATAATGAAGAGATAAAACAATCAATTGAAACTGATACAGAACAGATACAGATATTAAATTTAGCAGAGAAGGACATTAAGATAGTTATAACAGTATAAAATGTTTCAAAAATTAAGTAGAGACATGGAAGATATATTTCTTTAAAAATACTATTTTTTCTTTCTAATTAGATGATAAGAAAAATCATGTTTTTAAAATAGACTTTCTAGAGGGATGAGCAATGTGTTATGTTTCCACTAAATATTTTGGCATTATGTTAATAGACTTCTTGTTTATTATCTTTTTGCTTTACAGTCAGTCAATTTGGTGTGGATTATTTTACTGTGGTAAAACATGTATCATGTAAAATTTATCATCTTAACCATTTCCAAGTGTATATAGCTCAGGAGTGTTAAATATATTCACACTATATGCAGTCAATCTCCAGAACTTTTTCATCACGCAAAACTAAAACACTATACCCAATAAACAACTCCCATTTCTCCCTCCCCACCCCCAAGTTCCTGACAACTACTGTTCTACTTTATGTTTCTGTGACTTTGACCACTCAAGATACCTCATATAAGTGGAATCATACAGTAGTTATCTTTTTGTGACTTATTTTACTTAACATAATGTCCTCAAAGTTCATCCATGTTGTAGCATGTATCAGAATTTCCTTCCTTTTTAAGGCTGAATAATATTCCATTGTGTAGTATATATATATATGCATACTATGTTTTGTTTATGCACTCATCCATCAATGGAATTTGGGTTTCTTCTGCCTCTTCACTATTCTGAATAGTGCCTCTATGAACATGCATATGCAGATGGCTCTTTGAGATCCTGCTTTCAATTATTTTAGATGTGGTATTCTGCATCATACTGTAATTATTTTTAATTTTTTGAGGAACAGTCTTACTGTTTTCCATAGTGGGTGCACCATTTTACATCCCCCCAACAGTGCACAAAAGGTCCAGTTTTTCCACATCTTCACCAACGCATTACTTTCCACTGTTTCTTTTTGTATAGTACCTTTCCTAATGGATGTAAGGTAATGTCTCATTGTGCCTTTTATTTGCATATCTCTAATGATCAATGATGCTGCGCATTTTTTCATAGTTTCTTCATAGTTTATTTTTTCATAATTTCAAATTTTTATGTCATCTCTGGAGAAATGCATATTCAAGTCCTTTGACCATTTTTTTTATTGAGTTATTTGGTTTTCTTTCGATTACCAAAGGCACATATATCTCAAAAATAAAAAGATCCAAATCACATTTGTAGACATTAAAACAGCAATGTGTAATGTGAAAAAAATACACTAGATGAGTAATGGAAGATTAGACATGGGAACAAAAGATTAGTGACATTGAAGAAATAACAATAAACTATCCAAAATGAAACAAAAAGAAAACTTGGTAATTACAAAAACAATAATAACAAAGCATCAGTGATCACTCAGACAATTTTGAGCAGCCTAAAATACATGTAATTGGAGTCCTCTAAGGAAAGGAGGGAAGGCCAAAAATATGTTTGATAAATAATGACAAAAAAATTACAAACATTATGAAAACCCATAGAGAAATTCAATGAACTCTAAGCACAAGGCACATGAAAACCTAAACTAAGGCGCAGAGAAATGATGGGTTGACAGCAGATTTCTTTTTTAAAATCATATAAATGAGGAGACAATGGAGCAACATCATTAAAATAGTCAAAGAAAAAAACCTAGAATTTTATATCTGATGAAAATATCTTTCTAAAGCAAAAGTCTAAAGAATCCATCACTGGCAGACACACCAAGAATTATTAAAGGAAGTTCTTCAGACAGAGGAAAAATAACAGATGGAAATATGTATCTACAAAATGTAATAAAGAAAGCTGGAAATGGTGACCACATGGTTAAATATACAAATTTTCTTATTATTTATGTCTCTTTGAAAATGAGTTGAATGTCCAAACAAAAATACTAACACTTTAGTATGGGTTTATAACTTATGTAAAAGTAAAATGTATGGCAAAAATAGTACAATGGTCAGGGAGGAATAAATGAAAGTATACTATTATAAGGATCTTATAATATTCATGGAGTGGAATAATATCACTTGAAGGTAGACTATGACATACTAGAGATATATACTATAAACCCTAAACCAAACACTAAAACTAAAGAGTTATAGGTAATGAGCCAAAAAAGAAGACAAAATAGAATCATTAACATTTATTTAATCCAAAAGGAGGCAGAAAAAGGGTAAAGGGCACAAAGAGCAAGACAGTAGATTTAAACATAGCCATACAAATAGCTGCATTAAATGTAAGTGGTCCAAATATCTCATTAAGATTCAGAGATCATCAGATTGGATTTTTAAAAAAGCAAGACCCAACTATATGCTGTCTATAAGAAATGCACTCCAATTCTAAAGATACAAATAGGTTAAAAGTAAAGGATAGGAAAAGATATGACATACTAACACTTAACAAAAGAAACCTGGAGTGACTATGTTCATTTAAGAGAGGATAGATTTCAGAGAAAAGACTTACCAGGGATAAAGGTGTCAAGTAACCAAAAGAACATAACAATCCTAAGCATTTATGCACCTAATAACAGAGCTTCAAAATATATGAAGCAAAAACTGATAGAACTGCAAGGAGAAATGAACAAATCCACAATTATTATTTGGCATTTTAGTATACTTTTCTCAACAATTCAAGTATTAAAAAAATCAAGATGTAGAATAGTTAACACTATCAATCAACTTGTTCTAAATGATACTTATATAACATTCTACTCCAAAACAGCAGAATCCACAATCTTGTCATATGCACATAGAACATTCACCAAGATAAATCATACACTTAGCCACAAACCAGTCTAAATAAATTTAAGAGACTACAAGTCTTACAAAATATGTTCTCTGACCACAGTAGAACTAAGATATAAATAAAACCAAAAGATCTCTGGAAAATCCCCAAGCATTTAGAGATTAAATGACAACTTCTAAATAATCCATGAATCAAAGAAGAAATCAAAAGGAATATTAAAAATATTTTTAACTGAAAGAAAATGAAAACGCATCTCAAAATCTGTAGGATACCACTAAAACAATATATGGGGGAAAACTTATAGTACTGTCTATATTAGAAAAGAAGAAATGTTAAGTCAATGAGTTGAATCATTGATGGACCTCAGCTCCCACCTTAAGAAACTATAAAAAGCAGAGCAAATTAAATCTAAAATAGAAGAAATGAAATAATAAAAGTTATAACAAATAGATAAAATAAAAAATGAAATAAATCAAGAAAATTAATGAAACCCAAAGTTGGTCCTTTGAAAAGATCAATAAAATTAATATAGTTCTACCTACACTGATCAGGAAAAAGAAAAGATAAAAATTACTAATATAAAGAATGAGAGACATGACATCACTATAGATTCTACACATATTAAAAGGATAATGAGAGAATATTATGAAAAATCAATGCCAAGAAATCTAATAATTTATATGAAATGGACAAGTTCTTTGAAAGATATGAACTACCAGAGTTCACTCAACTAGAAATAGATGACCCAAATAGCCCTTTATCTATTAGGGAAATTGGATTCATAATTAAAAACTTTTCCAAAAGAAAACTCCAGACCCAGGTAGCCTCACTGGTGAATTCTACCAAACATTTAAGGAAGAAGTACACCAATTCTATTCTAACTTCCAGAAAATTGAAAAACTATAAACACTTCTAACTCATTCTATGACGCCAGCATTATACCCTGATAGCAAAATCAGATAGTCCTTACAAGAAAACTACAGACCAACATCCTTTATAAACAGAGGTGCTGTGGAT